AAAAAACTTATGTGAAATTTAGTAAAGTTATATTAGAATTTAATTAATATTCTTGATATTTGATATAATTATACTAAATTTCACATAAGTTTTTTTAAAGTTTAGTATTTTTTGATATCAAAATTTCGCTTTGTCGCACTTTTTCCCCAATTTGAAAATATTTTTACAAAATTTAATATATATTCTCTCTCCGTGTACATATCAAATTCTCTATATTTTTCCTGTAATATTCAAGTAAAAATACACCAGCATGCAAAATTTCAGCTCTCCATGTCGAATAGTTTAGAAGTTAAGGGGGTGGGAATGGTCACTTTTTACGCATTTTTGGCCAAAAATCTTGTTATTTCCTTGACAACGCTATGGCCATCACCTCCAATCACATTCGCTATATTTTTCCTGTAATCTACAAGTGAAAATACATATCTGGACTAAATTTGAGCTCTTCAGGTCAAATAGTTTAGCCGCTAGGGGGGGGGGGGTACGATTTGGCTATGGACACAAAAGTCTCACCAATAGGGTTCCGTCGGTACACCGTAGGTGTACGTACGGAACCCTAAAAATAGAAATTTTCTTTTTTCACTTTACAACAGTCATTTGTAATCAGAAATATAGCAATAGTACCCAGTAAGAAACGAAAAATTGAAAAGTATTAAAAAGATTCTATTCTTTTGAATGCCATTTCTGTCCAATACTTTTCTATCCAGTGAGAGCAATATGAAAAGTAACGATATCAATCCTCTTGAATACCTAGTAAGAAAGCAAAGATTAAGAAGCATTAAAAAAATTCTATCCTTTTGAATACCATTTCTGCCCTATGCTTCTGAATTCCGCGACAGTAGTATAATAATATAATACTAATATTATTGACATATAGAATGTTCAATTACTTTCAAATAACTGCACTCATGAATTTATTTGCTATTTTAAAAAGGAATAATTATTAAATTATCAGTTAAGAGGGTTAAAAGTGTTTAAAGGTCTCTGAAATTTTTAGGTTATGATTTATTGTCTAACAGAATAACGGCCCTGACTCGTTTAAATGACGTTAAATTGGTAAACAATCAATTTTTCAGCAAGTTTTTCTTTGAACACAAACACTTTTTACAAAATCTGCCACTGTATGTATCTTATAAATTACAAAAATCCAGAAGATTGCTTGAATGCATGCAGAAACGCGGTTCCAATGAAAAATTGAAAAGTGATATAATGACAGGCTGTAATAATTTCGGATGGGATTGGAAAGCATTCAGAAAAAAATTTTGTCTTTGTTAAAAATTAAAAAAAAAATTGAATAGCATTCATTTTTAGACGAAACGTGGTCCTATCATGGTATAGAAAAGTATTGGACAGAAATGGCATTCAAAAGTATTGGATAATTTCTACTTCACCATACAGAGTTTGAATTATTTCAATCCAATTTCAATTCAATTTATGGTTTATTGTTTTGTGACACAGAAATAAATAGAATTTTAAATTCTCGTAAAATTATTGGTTAAATTAACTCGACAAATTTTATGGAAAAAGCCTGAGTCAAAATTTAGACCCTATTTTGACCCTCTTTTTAAACCTCTTTTAAACCTGAAAATGATGCGCAAAATTCCATATTCTGATGTTTAGAAGTTAGAACTTTAGGGCAAACTTTTAATCTCAGAGTATCCTCATACTTTGCTATTTTTCTTTGCATTACAGATCATTTATAAGTTGTGAAAATAGTTTTGCAAAATGTCAATTATTTTTCAAGAAATTGTTATTTAAATTTTTGAGTCACTTTTTTCACCAATTTTTATTTCGAAATCTACAATAGTTTAAAAAAGTGTCCAATATGAAAATTGTAAGAAAATGATTGAATTTTAATAATATTTTATTGAAAAATAAATAATTCATTTTCTTCATTAATTTATGTAAACAATAATTTTTACCATTTTTTTTACTCGAAGTCCGTAAAATTTTTTCAAAAAATATAATATTTAAATGAAAGTTTATAAAGTCTTTAAAAATCCCTGAAAATTACAGAGAAGTGTTTCTTGATATTTGTATCGAGTTAGGACGTGTTTTATGTTTCAACAAATTAGGTGCTTTATAAATATTGAAGTGTTTTTTATTTTAATGAATTTAGCCTGATGAGGATGGCATTTATTATAATGCCTGCGCATTATAACCTTAACCTGCACATAAGGTTCAGGGTTCGATTCCCACATTGTGAAATTTTTTTCTCGTAAAATATGAAATCATTGAATGTTACATGAATATCAATAACGTTATGTATGTAATGTTGTAACGTTAGTAACAATATTAGTAGTCTTTAAATCGAAAGTGTTATTATAAGCGGACAGGAATAACGCTCTAAACAAGTTTTTAGAACAAAAACTTTTCTGTGAGCACGTGAAATTTGCCAACCGAACAAGATTCGCTCCATCAATTTTCGAGTAAAGAAAGTTTGTAAAACATTTCTTCTTGTCATCTACGACAGGATATTGGAGTCCATGCTCGTAAAGTTTTCGTTTGAAGATGGAGATCTCCCTTTTGTGGTAGAAGTTATGTCTGCCGATGTGTTAAATCTTGACCTCCACTAATCATCTAAGGAAAAGAAGCTGTGCTACCTACTGTAAAGGGAGCATAGACCTCTGTGCTTCCTTTTTTAATGTTGGTATTCTTAAATTCGCTAATAACGAAAGTCGCTCAGATAGCACCTAATCTTTTAGCAAGCTTGCGGCAAGCTTTTAAAGTCCCACCCAATGTCGACATGAAAGATTAGGTAGATTTGTCACAAACTTGCTGAAAGCTTCCATGCAATCTGTAAGGAACTTGAAGAACCCAAAATATGTTATATGTAGCATTAACCGTAAAAGACATTCGTTTCCTTAATTCAAGAAATATATTTTAGTATAAGTATATTTTAGCGAATCTCAGAACGACCCAGCACGTCATCTTTTTGCGATATTTTAATCTGAACGTGAAAAAAACGTTTTCTCGGACATTTTTGAAGTTTTAAGATTATTATATTAAGATAAAATTTTGTTTCTAAAAGTTCTAATGCTACTATTTTTTTCCTTTAAAAACCTTCAGAAACATGAAAAATGTTTATTTAGTTCTGAGATATTGTCATTTAAAGTGTTTAATGCCTGTGAATTTATCAAGATTTGTGCCCACATAGCACAACATATTCCAGGAACCTTCCAGGAATATTCCTTTGGAATATTTGGTATATTCCACAGAAAGATACCTGGAAGGTCCTGGGAATACAATGAATGTCCATTTACATTATAATGTTCCAATGTAAGGTTCCTGGGATATTTCTCGAAAATTTAATTGTAAGGTTCCAAAGTAAGGTTCCTGGAATATTTTTTGAAAATTTGATTGTAAGAAGTATTAGGAATATTCCAGTATCGTTTCGAAAAATTCTCGCTAGAAGATTAAATAGGCTCATTTTAGAAGTATCAACAATTATTTAACCTGGAATATTTAATGGACACATTCCAAAAATATTTAAAAGTTTTCTCTTTGAAATATTGAATAGGATTATACAGAGTAAATTCGTACGAAATGTTGTTTTTAATTATTCTTTGAAAGAGATTTCAAAGAAATGTTTTTATGTTGTGAAAAGGTATCCAGATAATATATAAAAATATTTTTTTTAATTTCGACTTTTTCATTTCGCGTGGTTTATATTTATTTAATAATCAGTAAATTTTCCAACAGTTATTTTTTTGGAAAAAATAAGTTTAAAATAGTTCCACTTTTCTCATGTAAGCGTTTCCAAACATTATTTTTGTCCAACGTAAATAATATAGTTGAATAGTAAAAAAATAAGATTTTACCTGGTTTTGTTATAAGTATAATTTTATTTAAGCTTATATTTTGCAGAAAAAGTTTAACAGTTTTAAACGTAATTAACAATAATTTCTTAGTCTATAGTTTATCAGAACTATAGGGGAGGATGGGGCAAGGATAGTTAGTTGCTGTTATGCTTAGACGGCTTGCTCAAAAATCGCGTAATTCATAGTATATTCGCGTTTTAACACCAAAATATGATTGTAAAAATTGCAAGTCAATCTGTCGCCATTTGCGAAGTTGGGAGATTATTTTTGAAAAAAGTCTGTTTTGCTAAAATGTCAACGTAATGTTTATCATATTGTTTTCTACATTAGAATTTCAGAATATTTTTTACGTAAAATGTTTTCCGGAGTGGAATTTCCTGCTGAACACGAATATCGTATTTATTTTCAAATTAATTCACGTCGTTCCTTAAAATTTAGAAAAAACTGAAATATGGACTCATGGGGCAAGGATAGTTAGAGATAATACGGCACGGTAAAAGCGTGTTAATACCATTGAAAATTTTAAAAAAGTGTTTAATTGTTCTTTTTAGGTTGATATACATAATGGTTCGTAATTATATACGGAAAACGAAGCTTATGACCAAGAAATTGGTGGTCGTCTGAAAAAAATTGTTTAAACTTCTGATTCTAGTTCAGATGAATTTTAATATAATAATTGCAATTCAGAAAATGTTCCATACATATTTTTAATACTTGGGATATCAATATTGAATAGTCTAAAACCAGTAAAATAAAAAAAAACAAAAATTTACTGATTTTCTATAACATTTTTGGCATTCGAATTCTTTTAACTATCCTTGCCCCGGTACTGGGGCAAGGATAGTTAAAATTTTTTGTTTACTTTTTCATTCATATCTCGTAGGGATTTGAGTCTACAGTAAAATAATGTACAGCAAAATTATAGCCAAATAACCAGGCTTTCCAAAAATACTTTTCATTTGCAGATACATAATCAAGTTTGGCCGCTAGATCCGAAAAGGTCTTACCTAACTATCCTTGCCCCATCCTCCCCTATATCTTTTATCAATATGACCGTATATATATCATTACCATTGTTTCTATTAAAATTTTAAATTTCTAAATATAATTAAATGTTTCAAATCTTCGCTTTTTTTAATTTCTATTTTCGGCATCTGAATCTATATTATCTTCTAGTTCACCATCATTTTTATTTTCTTCGTCATCTAAATTAATCTGCATGGCGGATTCAGTTTCCTTTAATTTTTTGCTTATAGTTGTGAAGCAAAACGCAATGTTTTAAACAAATAATTTCTGTAATTAGTTATAGCAATCTATGAATTCATCAATCAATAATAAAAATATATATTATCCTTTAAAATGCAAAGTTTTAAAAACGATTAAGTAAATAAGCATAAACAATGTATTTTTAAAAAATTTGTGTTTTAGCAGTTAAAATGCGCAAAATAGTAATAATTAAAGTGAAAAACCGGTGAAATTTCAACGATCAATTTTTAAAAATTTAAATTGATTGTAAAGAAAGAATGATATTTGAAAAGTGATAAAAAATAATGGATAAGTGTGAGTGATATGCCGTATTTCATTATGTTGAAGAAAATTATCGCACGTACTGACGACGTTTTTCACGTTTTGTACAAGCTATTAGCCAATCTTCAGTGGATTTGTCGATTTCAGCTACTGTTGCTCTTGGAAACATTTTTTTTGTGCAGTCTATAAAATAAAGTTAAAAATATCATTAAGTATCCAGCTAAAATATTTTACGATGAAACATATTTTAAAATGAAATATTTAAAGATTCGCTTCTATTGAAAAAAAAATTTTAGATAAAACAAAGTACTGAAAGAAAAAAGTATTAATACTTACGACTTATAACCTTGTATAAACAAAGTTGTTGGAATCCGCTTTTTTCTTTAGATTTCCCTTTAAATGAAAACCCTTTTCCTGCGGAATATGTAAGAAGAAAATCCATTATGCTGCAAACTGTCAATTGAAGGGTCCTTACTTTTCCTAGATTTTTAACCTCACTCACCTAATGAGAATAAATTATTTATATTTAATTATTTATATTAATAAATGAGGCATTCCACGTCAAGTGATCCGGGGGTCAAATTTACCTGGAATGTTTGAAAAATTTGTAGTTTCTTTGAAACAAAACGAAAATATGTTTTCTATTTTGGGATTTTTTGCTGTTTTCCAACACTTTCTAATAGTGTAAACAAATTTAAAAAAAAAAAAATTTTTGACCTTGAAAAATTAAATTAAAAAATAAAATTTCATTTTTTTATCAAATGGACATTTTTTATTTAAAAAAAAAAATTTTTTTCATAAAGGTGAGGTTTTTTCCTAAAAAAAATGTGTAGGTCAAAACGTGGGACAAGAACTTTTAACTGGTCAAAATAAGCATTTACTTCTGCAGTGCACCGGCCCACAGTGGAATTTTTTTTACAATTTACTGTTAAAAAATGTCTACAGCTTACAATTTTTAACCGATTTGAATGTTCTCTGTTTTAAATTAAAGGGGAATAAATTCTTAATACATCCCTCGAAGCCGATTTTTGAGATTTTAATTGTTTATAATTTTTTTTTAATTAAAGTTAACAAATTAATACACTTTTTTAAAAAAGGACATTTATTTTCTTATTCCGTTGCTGCACATGATCTAAATCAATTTAAATTTATCCAATATGACCACCAGATAATTCATAAAGCATAAAATAATTTATTTCAGTTGTTATAAACAATATACAGCCTAACAACGCGCAGCGGAGGTGTACTGCAGAAGTAAATGTTTATTTTGACCAGTTAAAAGTTCTTGTCCCACGTTTTGACCTACATATTTTTTTTAGGAAAAAACCTCACCTTTATGAAAAAAAAATTTTTTTTTAAATAAAAAATGTCCATTTCATAAAAAAATGAAATTTTATTTTTTAATTTAATTTTTCAAGGTCAAAAAATTTATTTTTTTAAAATTTGTTTACACCATTAGAAAGTGTTGGAAAACAGCAAAAAATCCCAAAATAGAAAACATCTTTTCGTTTTCTTTTAAAGAAACTACAAATTTTTCAAATATTCCATGTAAGATCAAAAATTTAAACTTTGACCCCCTCCAGTTTTTACATTTGTTTAAATAAATTAATAATATTTTGTATTTTTAATTGTATCTAATAGGACTACTGTTTATACAAACTTTTAACCTGATCCCAAACATTCCAAATTATGCCCGGATCACTTGAGGTGGAATGCCACAAATATGTAAATATGTTATTTATATAATTATTTATTATTTATAGTAAATAAGATGGAAATATTAAGTCAAATGACAGATTTTAAATAACACATAAAAAACTGATAAATTACCCCCTCTATTTTTAGTTAAGATTTTATTAACCCTCACAGGCTCGAGTTCGATTTTTGAAATGCGCGCACAAGGTGGGTCCGAGGGACCCGGATGTTTCAATGCAATAAAAAATAAAATTTAATAGCAAAGTGCTCCATATTTTCCATATTTAATACAATTTTAATAATATAATTGCATAAAAAATTTTAAATATTAAAAAGTAATCAAGTTATAACTAAAATTTGTTTAATAAATTTAATGAGTCATTTTGAATAAATCGAACTACATACTTATCAAGCAAGATTTTTCTAATTTGTATTTTTTGTTCTATTAAATTTACTGGTGTATTAAGCATATGTTATCACTTATTATGGCAGTTGTTGATAAAAAAACCATAAATAAATCCAATATTGCATAAAAACTGAAAATTTTTAAACTTTTTTTCATACGCCGGGTCCCTCGGACCCGGCTTGAGCCCTTACGTATGTTCGACTTAAAAGGTAATTTACAAGAGTATTTTATAAATAAAAAATTGTTTATATTGATGAAAAATGTGTGTTTTTACGTCCCCAAGCCTAATGTGAAGTTGATTTTCCAATAATATTTTCTTAACCGGAAGTAAATCAAAAAAACTTTCCTTCGGGTCCGAGGGACCCGGCTCGAGCCCGTGAGGGTTAAAAGAATATATGTATACCACTTGTGATAAAAAACTTTTATCTTTCAATTTATTCTCGATTTTCATAACCTCCGCAGCTGTTTTGTCAGGAAAAATTTCTAATACTTTTCCCTCCCCACGAATTTCTGATACTGTTTCTTCAATGACAAAACTGTTAGAACCTCTTTTGCAGAATGACTCCAACATTAACCCCATTGCATTTGACTTCTTTAACATTAATATCTCGTACGGACTCACTATTCAATGTTAAGTGTTACTCAAATTATAATCCATATTTTCCACATAATTATTTAAACCAGTTACTAAATTTTTTACACTAATATTAATAGTAATAATAATAAGAATATTTTTATTTTTTGTGGTTATTATTATTAGGTATTTTAGATGAAATTTAAATATAAAAGTTACGATTAACTTACAACCCCGGAGAACATCAGGTGAATCAACGAATATTTTTGATGAACTTCTACGCGTGTTAGACATCATATTCTCATGCGCAGCAGCAGGTTACCTTTGATCCATCGCATCGAAGCTGTTTATATGAGAAATGTAACTTTATTAAAAATTTTGATTTCATTTTTAATGTAAACATAAAATTTAATTATTTTTTCTTATTATTTAAAAAAAAATTTAAATCATGAATGGAATGAAAAGTGAAGAAAATTTAAAAAATTAACCTTCTTGTTCTAAATGTAGACGTTGCCTCTCGATCTCTTCTATTTCCATTTCGCTATCTGTTTTATCCCTGAAAACACCGTTGACCTTATTTTTAGTTTCAGGTACAGGAGTGGTCCTTTCTTTGCTTTTTGAGGCTATAAAGAAAATTTTAATTTTATTTTAACATTCCTACACGGAGAGAAAAAACAAGGCTTTTCCCCATGAAAAAATATGCATTTAACGCGTGAAAATTATCACAGTAAAAATGCAGGACGCTCACGGGTTTTCCCGGTGAGATTCTTGCAACGAGCTAAGGCCAATAGGACTAAGGCATGGCCTAACCGCTAAACGCAAGAAATTCATCGGGAAATCCGGTGAAACTCCTACCTGAAAAAGGCATGAATTGAAGTCACAGGGAAAAGCCTTGTTTTTTCTCTCCGTGTATGATTTTTAGATTTTTAGAAAATATTTGTAACAGATTTCTAAATTTTTTCTGAGAAACCGTCGACAAACTTTTGCGGATTTCTGGAAAATTTCTAGAATTGATAACAAATTTTATACAAAAATTTCCGGAAGATTTCCTAGTAAAAATTGAGAATATACCAGAAATTTACTGAATATTATTTTTCGTGGGTTACTATGAGTTTTATTTAAAGTGAAATTATTTTATTTTTTACAAAAAAAATTAATTTTTCAAGACGTTAAATTAATGAAATGAAGATACAAAGAATTAAGAAAAGAAGAATTACTTTTTAAAAATAACTACTTTCCATTTTGAGTTATAATATTATTTTACTTCAAAAAATAGAAAAATATTCCAGCTAGATTGACGAATGGAAAATAAAAAAACTTTTGCATTTTAACCTCTTTGTTGTAGTGGCATAAGTTGTTCCTCAATCTCTTCCAAATCGATATCCGATTCCTGAACCATTAAATCTTCACCTTCATCTTGTTTCTTATGTCCAGTAGACTTTTGCACGTTAGTCGCATCATTAGAAGTGCATTGGGTGAACGAAATTTTCCTTACAGATTTTGATTTTTCAAGACTAGTCTTTTCCTTATTTTCCCTGTTTGCTTTCTTTTCTACGTTTCGAGCGTGTCTGGTTTTTTTAATCTTTCCATGTTGACATTGTCATCGGTGTTTAATTCAGACAATTCCAATAATAGAGACATTGCCTTTTTTGCTTTGTCGTAAGTGTCTGAAACATAGAATTCTTTATCAATCTAAAAACTTTTGATTTATTAATATTTTGCGAAAAAGTAACATAAAAATTACCTGCTTGTCGCAAAACTTTTATAACTTTCCAGGGTTCACCATTTTTATCCGCCCACTCACCGGTTGGTTTTTCATTATTATGAATAATTTTTAAAAATTCCTTTTCGTATCGAAATGAAGGAAAATAACTGGCAGTCATTTCATTTTTCTTGTTAAAAATTCCCCAATTCGTTTTAAGGTATTTCTCCGGCTGCTACTCTTGTAAAAATTGATTTTCGATAGATTTTCTTCAAATTTTGAGAAAATGATTCTTCGGGTGACTTTTAAATGTGGTAAAAATTTCAAACCCCTTTGCGATGCTAAATTTTGAGTTATTCAAGTTCAAACTTTCACTTTTACATGCGATTATGTTAAAAATAAAAAATGTCAACCATAATATCTCGTTCTTTGACATGGCAAAGGGTTTTTAAATTTTTACCACATTTAAAGGGCACCCAAAGAAACATTTTCTCAAAATTAGAAGAAAATCTATCGAAAATCAATTTTTACAAGAGTAGCAGCCGGAGAACTACCTTAATTACTCCTATTCCTTTACTAAACTCAACGACAGAAAAAGCCGAAAAATCATCCACTAAATTGCTGCAAATATTAGTAAAAATTTAACACTTTTATATTAACTTGGTATCAATTGTTTAGTAATTAATTTATTTTTAATTTTTATACCCTACGATTCTTTTTAAATATGTAAATACTTAAATTTTTTGATTAAAATGAAGCCTTAAAAAACTATATTTTTATATAAAAAAATCAATATTAATAATTTTTAATGATAGTAAGTGATTAATGTTTCAATTTTGTCATCTTGCTTTTCCATAATATGCTTAACTTTCTCAACTTCAAAAGGTCTCCGCAAAAAGAGAAAAAATGTCTGTTTGTTATCTAGTTGACAGAAAAAATTAGACTTCTCTTTCAGTTCTCTTTTGTTTAACCCTTCTGAGAATGAGTTTTTACCCGAACAGTAGTTACCAAATGCATACATTTTTCACAACAATAGATTTTCCTGCAATTTAGTAAACGGAGGTCTTTTGGGTCGCTGATTACGAATCTGAAGTCCATTTTTAAAAATTCAAAATGGCGGATCCAATATGGCGGCCAAATTTTTAAAAAGTTATTGGATTTTCTTGCAATTTGGTATATGGGGGTTTTCGGTGTCGCTGATTACGAATCTGAAGTCCGTTTTTGAAAATTCAAAATGTCAGATCCAATATGGCGGACTAATTTTCAAAAAAATATTTAATTTTTTTGCAATTCGGTATATGGGGGTTGCAATTTACTTAAATCTATATAATTACAGATAAAGAATAAAAATTGAATTATTATTTAAACAATTTTTAAACAAATTATTGTTGTTATTTACCAACATTTTACAGAATGCACCTTGAAAGTTGCAATTTTTTTCTGCAATTTTTTTCAAATTTTGCAATTTACTTAAATCTATATAATTACAGATAGAGAATAAAAATTGAATTAATATTCAAACAATTTTTAAACAAATTATTGTTGTTATTTACCAACTTTTTACAGAATGCACCTTGAAAGTTGCAATTTTTTCCTAATTTTGCCATTTACTAAAATCTATATAATTACAGATAAAGAATAAAAATTGAATTATTATTTAAACAATTTTTAAACAAATTATTGTTGTTATTTACCAACTTTTTACAGAATGCACCTTGAAAGTTGCAATTTTTTCCTTATTTTTCAATTTACTGAAATCTATATAATTACAGATAAAGAAGAAAAATTGAATTATTATTTAAACAATTTTTGTTATTTACCAACTTTTTACATAAAGCACCTTAAAAGTTGCAGTCTTTTCTAATTTTGCAATTTTCTAATCCTTATGTGATTAAAATATTACAATTTTTTAATAATACTTATGACTGGTTTCAGTAAATATTGTCTTTAACTTATTGATTTAATTCTAAATAAAGCTAAGAAAACATGAAAAGTTGTCAAATATTTGCTATAATCTCTCTGTTTATTTAAAATTATATGATTTTGCAATATTAAATTGTTTAAACAAATGCAATTTATGCATAATAACATTATTAAAATACATTAATTTTATTAACAGATAATTATATGGAAAAACTTTGATGAATTTTAATCGTTTTTGGTAAAAAAACAAACAAAAATCGTTGGTAGTGTGAAGGTTAACTATATTGTTATTTACAAACTTCGTTTATAGTGAGCCTAGAATAATACATTTTTTTCTTAATTTTGCAATTTATTGTACTTTATATAATTACTAATAAAAATATGAATAAAATTGTACGAACAATTTTTAGACAAATAATTTTATTAGTATTTACTAACTTTTAAAATTTTAAACAAATAATTCTTATTATTTACCAAATTTGTTTACAGCGAGTGCAAAATATTAAAAGTTATTAAAATTTCCTTTTTTCTATCGGTGTTCTTATAAACCTCATCTAATTATAAAATTAGGTAAAAACTGTATCATCCATGTGCATTATGTAAAAAGCTAGTAAATAACAATAATAATATTTATATTAACAATTTTTTAATAATATTTTGAACTAGTTTATCTAAATATTTTATTGAAACCACCAAAATTTGAACAACTTTTACAAAATTAAAGTAAACTTTCACGGAATGAAATTCTGAAAAGTCAGTTCTTGAAAATCAATAGAATTTAAATCATGCAGTTTTAGATAGAACTCCAAATGCACTTTCTAAATTTTAATCAGTAAAATTTCACTGGTAATAAAGTGGGAATTTAGCAACTGCACATTCTAATGTAAAGACAAATTAAACAATTTTTTCAAAATTAGACAGCTATATTAGATCTGACATTTTGAATTTTTAAAAACGGACTTCATATTCGTAATCAGTGACCCCGAAAACCCCCATATACCGGATTGCAAAAAAAATTAAATATTTTTTTGATAATTAGTCAGCCATATTAGATCCGCCATTTTGAATTTTCAAAAACGGACTTCAGATTCGTAATTAGCGACCCCGAAAACCCCCATATACCAAATTGCAAGAAAATTCAATAACTTTTTGAAAAATTCGACCGCCATATTGGATCCGCCATTTTGAATTTTTAAAAATGGAATTTAGATTCGTAATCAGCGACCCGAAAAACCCCCATATACCGAATTGCAAGAAAATTCAATAACTTTTTGAAAAATTCCTTTATGCGCAGGAGGGTTAATAAATCAATTCATGGTTACGTTTTTTCAAATGTTTTAATTTTTTTATTTGACAAAATAAATGTCAAAAAAAATTATTTTTCTTTTCATGTTAAGAAATACTACGATATTAAAAAACTGATCTATAAATAAATAATGAGAGGTTTTGTTTTTTATTAAAACATATACATAGATTTTTTTAACTAATGAAACAAAAAATTATTTTCAAGTTTCCTTTGAATGTAGAAAAATGTTGATTATGTAAAGGTATAATAAATTTCAAAATTGATTAACTAAACATTTATCTACACGGAGAAACTTTTATTACCACTAATTCTTAAAACTGGTGAGACATTTTAGTATGTTAGGTTAGATTCAAGGGAAAGACGACATAGGTTATAGAAATTGCTATTGAGACTATCAAATACGCTCATTCAGTATGTATTTTACAGTTCTTTATAAGGAAACTAACGAAAATTAGTATGTTGTTTTAGAAAGAAAATAATAATTTTTGCAAAGTTCGGAAGCCATGAATTAAAAAGAAACACAACAAATTAATTGTCTATAGATACTTATAGAGACGATAGTGATACTTGGATCTGATGGTAGATGGCATTAGTGTATGTCACTGTAACTGTAGGTAAATGTATGTAAATGTATGCCATAGTTATTTTGTTCTTGTAGTTATTTTATTCCAAGCATTTTTCTTAATGCAGTAGCTTCAAAGGATGCATTTATTAATTTATTATGTAACAAACACCATCGGTGGTGGGACAAAGTTAACATTTTGTCATTAGTGTCAGAACTGAAGTATTAGCTTATGTTTACTGCGCGTAAATAAAAGAAAAGAGTTTGGTTACCGTGGCAAAAAAAGAAAACTGATATATACTTGCGTCTGCGCAAAGTGTTTGCCTGCAGCTGTGTTGTGAAAGAGTTTGCCTTGACCACGTGTTCGCGCAGGCGCAAATATATGCTCCTGGAGGTATATCCGTTTATGCGCGCGGAGGCTTATATTTAAGGCTTACGGTGTAAACTCCTTCTATATTTAATATTAGAAGAAAAAGTTTCTCTGTGTATTAATCGAATTTGCATAAAATATAAACACATGAATTTATTTTAAACATAAAATTTTATTGATTAAATACATTAGTTATTTGAATTTATATATTTGCAGCATTTAAATTGTTACTTTTTCTGTTGCTGAATTTTTCAAATTAAACACTATAACAATTATAAAATTATATTGTTACCTTCCTCTATTCCACTTCAATAAAAAATTAAAAATTGACACTAATGTTGACGGAGAACCTATCATTGCCTGAAGGAGAATAAAATTGTGAAGGCCTGGAATGTCGTAAAAATATTTATGATAACAAGTAAGTTTTATTAAATTATCAAACATTAACACGAAGTCATGCTCTAGTAATGAAAGGAGTGAGTTTAAAATCCAGTCGATTAGGACTTTCAGAAAAATTTTTAATATTATCTGAATTAATTTAAAGTTTACCAATTATAATAGATCTTTCTGTATTGTGAAATTATAAGTAAAAGCTTTTTTTCAATATAATAATAAAATAAGTTAGTCATTGTAGAAAAGTAAAAATAATGTTAAATGCATAATAAACACGTTACTTTAAAAAATAGAATTTTTGGAATAATTTTTGTTGCAATCAGATAAAAAATTTGATTATTTTCTAAAATAATAATGAATGAATACTAACATTAAACAAAAAATCAATTTTTTACTTCTTTTAATACTATTTTATGGATTCAATTCATTTTTAGTTGAAACTATTTTCATACCTTTTTTTTCATATTATTACTTTTTTAAATAATGAGCGGTCCTGGTAATTCCGTACCTCCTTTTTATTGCATATTTTTAAGATCCACTAGTTCTCGAAAATTGTATAAAATTTATAAAATGAACTAAAGATATCGGGAGATGTCGTAGGGACATATTTAACGTATTTTAATAATTTCCTAAAACTGTTTTATT